TTTTTTACTTATGCTTTTTTTTTTTTAAGATTTTATTTGTTTATTTGACAGAGACACAGCGAGAGAGGGAACACAAGCAGGGGGAGTGGGAGAGGGAGAAGCAGGCTTCCCGCGGAGCAGGGAGCCCGATGGCGGGCTCGATCCCAGGACCCTGGGATTGTGACCTGAGCCAAAGTCAGATGCTTAACGACTGAGCCACCCAGGCACCCCTACTTATGCTGCTTTTATCTCCCTCCCTAGTGTACCATCAACGTAAGCTCATTAAAGACAGATTGTTTTTTCCTCTTTTGTTCATTGCTGTATACTCAGTGCTTATACAAGTGTGTGGCATGTAGTAGACGCTCAGTATTAGTTGAAGGAATGAAAAAAATGCATGAGTGAATGCCATCCATTCTCTAGTTTGGCAATCTCATTCTGATCCCTCAAACATTTTAATATGCTTTTGATTATCATAGGTACTTCTCCAGCAAGTTACTGTTCTCTTACATGGCATACCCATTTGCTTGACACCATACATTTGCTCAGTTTGTACTTTCAGCCTGGGGAAACCCAGAGATTCCCCACTTCCTTCCTGGACAACTTCTTATCCTTTGAAATTCAGTCTACATATCACCTCTTCTAGGAAAATTTCCATGAACCCCCTCCCCCTACCAAATTAGGTTAAGTGCCCTGTGTGTATTTCCCCTACATCCTCTAATTAGTCCTTATCACAGTGCTTTTAGTAACTTTCTATTTGACAGTCTACTCCATGCTTCCATAAGCTCAATGGAGGAAGGCCTGGTGTTGTTCACCATTGTGTTCCTAGTGTCTGGCATAGTACCTGGCACATAGTAGTTGAATATTTGAACTGTTGAATATAAGACTCAGGTCAAAGTCATTTTTATTGTGATCTTTTTGGGAACCTTCTCTTTAACTGATCTTTGTTCTAGGAGGCATTTATCCCATGCAACTGAAAGGCAATGGGGGTCAAACTGGCAACAGGCTACAGCAGACTCCCAGATGGGTTAGCCCTTCTAAAGATCTAATCAATAACAACAGGGTGCAGAGAGGGGAGATTCTATCATTTGCTTCTGACACATGTCACATTATCTGTGTTCTTTTGTGTTTATCAAGGATGAGCATTGTGACACTCCTGTAAAAAACTTCCCTTCAGACTGTGGGCATATATAGAAGTTATTGGTGAATTGTGCCTATGGACCCAAAATGCACTAGATTCCTGGCTGCTACTTCTTATACTGTCATCATGCCCACATTGTTCCTCTAGGGCCCATAGATGCCACGGGAAGACATGATAGAATTCAAGCCTGGTGCACCCTCAGTGCACCTTGGACAAGGGTCTTCCTTCTTTGCTCAAGTCCCCCTATCCACAATTCAGGGTGGGACTGAAAGAATTGTGTGGAAAATGCTGATCTATCTGAAATATGAGTTTAAGCTCCTATATTACATGGGAAGTATTATCTACCTTCTCTACTCTCTACATCACATACAACCTTGAAAATAAGGAGGCACAAACAGGTGGTTCTTTGCTTAGAGGTATAGAGTATATTTGGAGAGGGTCCTGCCTCACCTGCACATTAACGGAAAGGATGACATCCTTTCTCATGGGCATGCAGAGGATTGGGAACCTACAAACTCCTTTTTCCTGGACTGGGTATTCTCTTTGTGTAGACCAGTGCCTTCTGCTGAGGTGAAAGCTGAGACGTGGGATGGATTTTCTGGCTGAGTGGCACAAGTCAGCTGAGGACAGTGCTTGGAGCTGTCATGGGAAAGGCACAGGAACCAGGAGCGTCTGGGCGGAAGGGATTGTTGCTTGAGTTCATTGTCCAGACACTGGGGGGCATCAAAGAAGGTCATGCCCTCCTCCTCCGTTTTCTTCTCCAACTTGGCTCCTGTCACAGGGTGTTTGGTGGGGGGTGGAGTCTTCTCAACCTTTTTTGTCATGGTTTTGGGCACTGTCTCATCCTTAGAGAGGAGAATGGATTCTTTATGCCCTTGACCTTTCATCTTGGGGTTAATCCAGTGTGGAAAGTGCTTCACCTTATTTCCTAAGCCAGCTTCTGCAGCTTCTGGAAGAATGGGATCTTGTGAATTTGGGCTGCTTTTAATAGACCTGCAGCTCTTGACCCTAGAAAGTGTGGCCCTATAAATTTTGGCCCTGCAAAGTTTGGATCTTAAAAAATGTGGTCAGTTTCAATGCTGGACTTACAATTTGGCCCAGCAAATAATGGCCCAGTCAGTTGGTCATGTAAGGTCTGGCCCATTAAGCTCTGGCAACTCCAGTTTTGGCATTCTGAGGAATCCTTGTTTGGGTGAGATCATTCAGCTTGCTTTAACAACCTTACAGACCATTCTCATCTGGCCTTTTGACTCAAGGAGTCCCTAGGGGAAACTCTAGGAACTCAAAGTGAAGGAGAAACTGGTGAAGGTGCTGATAGGGATCAGTCAGCTGAGGGGATGGAAATGGTGGCTCTGCAGATCCAGATAGATCCTTGCTAGTTCCAACTCACTCAAGGCAAACATCTTGACCTAACAAATTATACTTGAGAAAGATCCTGGAGATACATTTGGGAAGTCAGGGGTGCTAAGGGTTCTATTTATAAGAGTCCCCCCTGGCCTCTGAACCTCAACAGAGTAGATGTTCTCTCCGGCTAGGGAGAGCTTCAAAGCAGCACCCCCTTGTCTGTGATTCTCTGTTGCTTTAAGTCTTCCTGGGTCCTCTGTTTTCTCTGCTGGGGTAGGGAGTTGTCCTCACCTTTGCAGGGGATAAGGGTTCCAGGGCTCCTCCGGGTTGAGCTTGTTCACACTGGTTTCCAGATGAATACAAAGCACCTGGGCCCCTGTTGTGTCCCCAGTGGGTTGTGAGATCTTGGAGGCCCGGTGGGACTAACTTGCCTTTGGTTCTCCTGCACTGCCTTAGTTTAACTGCAAGCTGTTCTTTTAGGTGGAGCATTCTAGAGCACGTGGGATGATACCTGGTGGGATGGATAGATCCTGGAGCAATGTTTTTCCTTGGTTGTTTAGACTCCAAAAGGAGTTCTAGGCACAGATATTCCTTGGGACATCCACAACTTGTTCCTGGACTCCTTTGTCTTTATAAGACTTCCCAAATGTATCTCCAGGAATTTCTTTTTCAGGTAAAAATTTAGTTTGGCCAAGATGGGTATCTTGAGTGAACAGGGGCCAGCAGGATGTCTGGCTCTCTAGAGGCACCATCTCCATTCACCTATACTTCAACCTGGAATGCTTATGCACTGTCTGCACAAGTCTCATTGGCATCTTGAAAGCTGGCCCAGGACTTACACATTGGTGTTTAGATGATATTAAGCCATAGGTTCTACTGGCCCCCAACAGGCTCAGACACGTCATGTGATTGGCTAGTGATTGGCTAGTGATTGCCAGGGCCATGGCTTTGGAGAAAGCCACATAATAAAAAGCTGGCAGCCCTGACAGGAAGGCCAAAACTTGTCTACAGTTTCTCAATGGCTCCTTGGGAAGATATCCAGGCAGGTGCTGATCAGGATGATCAGTGACAGCATCAGGTGAGGCTTGTTGCTGCTGGTCAAGGCCTATCAGTATTGAGGATGTAGCTTCCTGATCCATGTAGGGGCTAACAGCTGCCTCCACATCTAGGGACTTACTTTCTGGGCACAAGAGAACCAAGCTGTTGCCAGGGCACTTGGAATGCTGTAGACCCAATGATTTCTAGTCCCAACAGCTACAAATGTGAACAGGAACAATGCCCTCGCAATTTTTACCACACCTGTAGTCACTGTAGCTCTGCAACATTGCCTTAGCTGGGCAAGCAACTGTGGACTGGCCCTGCTCCCACAGTGGATCAGAACAGGTCACTATCCCCACTGGCCTCTAGGTCTACAAGCTAGGGGACACTCACACTGGTCAGTGTGCTGCTCTGGGGCAGGGTCTGCTGGTGAGGAGGGGACAGAAGCAACTGTTTGGACTGCTGGATCTTCTGGGGCAGGCCCTTGCAATAGTGAATCAATTTGCTAAATCAACCACTTCTGAAAGTAGAACTCAAGCAGCTCTGGGCATGTTCCAGGGAAACACCACCTCCCTCTTAAAGACTGAAATGGGCTTCTCCTAGCAGGTAGGGCCCTAGGGACAGGCAGAAACATGTCTCAGGGCTTCGTTTTGTATGATTCTCTGCATCTACAGAGATTACTGGGCAATAGCTGGCAAGCCCCACTGAAGATGTGGCTGCCTTTGCAGCTGGTGCCACTTTAAGGCTTCACCCTTGGACAGAGGAGGAAGTGGGATATTGATATGGGTTCGTTGTTAGTCAGAGGGAGAAGCCCAAATTTGGGGATGTGGAAAGAAGATGGGGCTAACTTAGGTGGGGGAAATTTTAGACAGTACAGAGATCAAGAAGAAATTATTGAAGAAAAAGGGACTGGGGCTCCCGTTTTGTGGAGAGATCTTTGGGCAGACTGAGGACTCAGTGTGCAGAAAAGAGGAATCATAGAAAGGTAGCTATGTTTCTGCTGCAGACAGCACACTGAGGCATCAGTGGGTCCTCCAGGCAATGGATAGAGACCACTTAGAAACGAAACGTAGTAGAGGGTAGAGCCAGAGCCATGGAGTTTGGGATTTGCTTGCAGTGTCTTTGCTCTGGTTTCATAGTGGATCCTTCTATAACCCAGAAAGTTTGGGCAGACTGGCTCAACTCTCATGAACCCAGGTCAGGAAGATAGACCATATTTTCAACAGAGGCCTTAGAGGTAGCATTATGATGAAAGAAATGGTTGGGTTTTTTCTCCCAGGCTTGGAAAATATTTGGGGCTATGTGTTATAAGTTGTCATAAGAACCCTTCTAAAGATCTTGGGAGCCCTCAGGTATAGAAATGCATGCATTTATATACATGTACTTAAGGATACCTCAGGGCTTTGGGGAAATAGGAACATGCAAGGCAATGGGGTGTTTTAGGTTCATGAGTTCTGAATTCAGGGAAAGAAAGAGAATCAGATATTCAAGGGCAGCTTACCTTGTTTCTCCAGCACACATTCAGAGTGGCTCTTCCTCCTGTCCTGCTGATTCACAGGAATCCTAGGCTCCTCACTTGAAGAAGAAAGAGCTCCTGCATCCCTGGACACATCTGGCACTTGAAATCCCTTCCTTCGCTGAAGGTGTTCAGCCTGCTGATCTTGGATGCTGACATTGGTTGACTGGGCAGCTGACTGTGTTAAGGATTTCTGATCCGTTAATTGTAACTTTGTGGGGGTTACAGATGGAAGTGAAAGATCTTTGGAGTGCAGGGAACCCTGACTCTGCTCCAAAGAGAGACTAGACATGGACAAAATCTCTAGGCAAGAGGAGCCCTGCGATGGCCCCGATGAAGGTGGAGAGATCAGGGTGTTCTCACCCACCAGCAACTGCTGAATCTCCAGAGCCACAGCATTGCAGATGGGGCAGGTAGGATCTGCACACAGGAGCCGCCTCACACTTCCCTCCTTAGGAAGCCAGCCCTGGCTGGGAAGGGAAGATGGCAACAGTTACTGATGGAGTGACACCTGCCTCTTTTTGTTTGTTTTGTTATGCTTTTTTAAGTAGGCTCCACACCTAGCATGGAGCCCAATGCGGGGCTTTTTTTTTTTTTTTTTAATGTTATGTTAGTCTCCACACAGTACTCATTAGTTTTTGATGTACTTCCCAAAGCAGGGCTTGAACTCACAACCCTGAGATCAAGACTTGAGCTGAGATCAAGAGTGGGATGCTTAACCAACTGAGCCACCCAGGCACCCCAACACCTGCCTCTTTGAATATGTGTGGCCTGGAGATTTCGTTCACCCTCCCCTAGTCCTGGAAGCCTTGGGGCCTGTACCCTCATGGTGTTTACCCATCTCCTTTGCCTCCTAGGAAAAGGCCATTGGCAAATTATGTTGGGCTGGGCTGGGGTGAGGGTCTGGAGCTTGTTGGGCTAGATCTCAGACAACCCGTGGGAATGCAGGGCCATGAGAGACTAAGAGGTGGGGTGTACCGAGGCTGTTGATCTATGTTGAGAAGCTGAACCAGGAGAAGGAAACCAGGCAGAGGCAGGGAGCCAATGGTTAGCTGAATGGGCATCACCAGGAACATTCCCAGAAGAACCTGGAGTCAGTCTCATCTGGGGTTAAGAAGGCCACAGCCAAAAAAAAAAGAAGGCCATAGCCTGGCATTCAGTATTCCTAAGCTGTGGAAAATGAGGTCTTTGTGGGAACTCTGCATTCTGGGGACTATGGAGTGTCCTAGCTCCTGTACATAGCATCTCTTAAAGGCCAATCCCATTCTTTAGAGATTTTAAGAAGAGGATAAGATGACACGATCCTTTCTGAGGGCTGTCCCAGGAATTGGCCTCCCTGAAGATAAAACCATGGAGGTAATATTAGCAGGTTCCACGGGTCTGCCCTTGAATAGTTGTAACTATAAAGGGAATATGACATGGTGATTTATTTATGCATGCATTTCTCTATTCTCTTGACTGGATAACTTGTCTGTGGCTGAGTACAAACTCATGTAGAGTCGTCAATGAATTACATAGTAGCAAAATCCTGAATTTCAGGACCACTGTGAACCTAAGCCCAGAGCAGAACTGGAAGACTCCTCCTTCCTGAGACACCTGATCCCCTTCTGCCCTGACAACCCTCTCAACCAGTCCTCAGCATCCACTGTGTCTGACGCCCTCCCAGACATTATCCCTCTTCTCCTCCCTGCCCCAGGCCAAGCAGAGAAATCATCACAGGCCAGGCTGGGGGTTTGGAGACTGCAAAGAGCAAGTGATCACCTTTTCATAACAGAGAGCAGCTCCCACGGCTTCTCAGCTTCTTCCCGGCAAAATCTCCTAGCTGAAAAACCAGGACAGTGTTACAAGGAATGAGAGGATGCAGGGACATCCTATAGCAAGCTGAAGGTCTTTGAGTAAGAGGAGGCTGAAAACCCCAACAGTCAATGCTCTAAGGCACGTCTGTGTACAACTTAACCCGCTGCAACATGTTATCCTAGACCTAATTTCATTTGATCATCACAACCACACCCTGAGTGAGGCAGGATCATGAGATGCCCATTTCAGGAATCACAGACTGAGAGATGAAGTGACTTCCACAAGGTCGTAAAACTAGTAAATGACACAGCTAAAGGCTTCTGTCCTGCTTCCTCATTCTTCATTCCCAGGGGCAGGGGTAAGGTAGAGAATTTTGGAACATTCCTAGGCCTTGAGAATTTTGGAACATTCCTAGGCCCTGATTTCCCACCCAAGAAAGTCTTCTGGGAGAATCTGTCAACTGGGGTAATTGGAGCCTTCAGTGGTTAGAGCACCTGGCTACTTGTTCCAGGGGTCATAGAGGGACAGGAATCAGGGGAATCTTGCCCATAGTGAGGGGAGTCCAAGGAGAAACTAGGACTTTACCTCTTGATGTTCTATCTTTAGCCCTTTGTTTGACTCTCCGGTGACTCTTGAAAACAAAAAAGTTAGAGTATTAAGCTGGGCACCTTTTACTTTTTGTGTCTAAATGAGACAAAACCTGTAAATGTTTCCCAAATTTTTTCTATATTCCAATTTTATATACTCTCCTACCATTCTTTCCCCTACTCTATCTTTTCCACCCATCATTTCCCTTCTCTTATTACTAATTCATTTTAAGGCTCTTCTATACTCCAAACCTCTACCCCCATTCCCTGAACAAGTTCTGTGGGGAGATCAAAGTGAGACAGGAGGAAAGAGGAACAGATTAAAGGATAAGAGGTCTAGTAGCCAAAGGATTTTAGCTATCCAAGGTCCTGAATGTCTCCCAGCCAGAAGAATCAACCCAAATTTGGAGCTCTTCTGGGATCCATGAAGAAACCCCCATAAAAAAGAAGGGGTCAGGGTAACAGGAGAAAGTAAGGGGATAAAATCTTGTTTGAGGCTTAATCAGTTCAGGCATGGTCATTGGTCTCCCTACCCGGCAACAGCTCCTGTTAGGTCCCAACCTTAATTCTTGGTGGCTCTTTTTCACTTGCCAAATAATTAATGCAATAATAATGAAGGAGCCATAAGTGTATAAGGAATATCCAACATCACACAGAAGAAAGGTAGGGGTCAACATAATCTAAACCTCACTAGCCATCTCTCTTCCTAGGCTTTCAGGGACTTGGAACCTAATGCCTCCAAATTCTAGACGTTGTCATTTCTGCCTCACAGAAGATGGAACCAGGTCACTAGACTACATCACAAAGCTCTCCTATTTCAAAAGGTATGCAGAGTATCACAGGCCTTTATTTGTCTAGGAGAAGCTCATGTGATGCAGTGTTCAGATGAGGTGTCTGGTTGTCTGTATGAGTTGCAGAGCTTGGGCCCTAGAGGTGCCAAGGTCATGGGCAGCATATATTCTTTCATGCTCTATTCCCTATAACCTGATGGCTTAGCTCTCTCCTTAAGACAACAGTGTGGCACCTATCCTTAGATAAGTTAGTCTTTATGTACACTGCATGCCCTATAAGAGAGAGACTGGCTAGGTCAGAGGAACTCCATCACCTGTACTGGGAAGATAACTAAAAAAACACACAAGAGGCTAGGACATACATATCTTGTTAACTATTAGAAAGTGAGGATTTTGATGTCACAGGCAATTGGTGGTCAGTATTAAGAGGTTCAAGAAGAGGATCATGTCTGATCTGTCAAGGAAAGGATATAGCTGCTGCCTTTGAAAATAACTATCTGAGAGTTAAGGATTCCTCCCAGTCTATGGTCAAGCTTGAGATGGGTGGGAAAAGACTGTAAATACTGCCTTCCATGAGGCACATAAGTGAGGTTCTCTTCTGGAGCTTGATTTTCTGAAACAGCCTCTATAGATCTTTCAGCATCCTGCCTATTCCTGGAGATGGGTCACTGGCAACACTTTTGATTAAGGACTACAAACTTGTGGTTCTTTGGTTGAATCCAACATGGCTGGAATGTTTGGCTAAATGTTTTATGAAGTCTGAATTTGAATACCTTTAGGCAGGGCAAGCTTTTTCCTGTTCAACCTCTTCACCACTCTTATATCCACTGATTCACACATTAATGTTAACGTCATGGCCCCTGTCGACATTGTGAGAAGCCTCCAACACCCTAGGACTTCTGAATTTCCTTAAGTTCTTGCCCTATTGATAAGAGTGGTCCCACATCCCCAAAATTCTTAGGCTCAACATCTCTGAAAGTGCTACTTGGTCCTTCCTCCAGCATCCAGTCTACCACCAGCCAGGTGTGGTGAGCACTCAATCTGAGGTCATCCCTAAACTGGGCAATATCAAAGGCACATACACATGTGAGTTGTGTTACCTGCCTGTTCTCAAGACACTTAAGAACCTAGTTAAAAGATAAAACTAGGGCGCCTGGGTGGCTCAGATGGTTAAGCGTCTGCGTTCGGCTCAGGTCATGATCCTGGAGTCCCGGGTTCGAGTCCCACATCGGGCTCCCTGCTCGGCGGGGAGTCTGCTTCTCCTTCTGACCCTCCTCCCTCTCCTGCTCTCTCTCTCAAATAAATAAATAACTAAAAATCTTTAAAAAAAAAAGATAAAACTAATTCACATGAATCAAGAATCAACCTTATTAGGGCTTGGGGAAGAGGGGATTAAGGAGTTATTATTCAGTGGGTACAGAGTTTCTCTTTGGGATGATGAAAAAGTTCTGAAAATGGATAGTAGAGATGACTGCACAACACTGCAAATGTTTTAATGACACTGAACTATACACCTAAAAATAGTTAAAACAGTAAATTTTATGTTAAGTATATACCACAATTTAAGAAACAAAAAGCAAAAAAAACCACCCTACCAATTATTAGTATGAGGGATCTTTTTTATTAGCTATAAGGAAGAATACTCTGACAATGATTTCATAAAAAAATGGATTAGTGAATGTTTTTTTAAGTGTCTTTTTTAGATAGAACAAAACGCAAACAAAATACATCCTTACATTTAAGATAACTTAAGAGGAGTCTCACCCTGATGATGGATGAATTTGAGCCATTTTAACATCTTCCCTGAACTTACAAATACCATTCTACAAAAATGAGAAGACTTTTTCAACCAAAGAGTGCTGAATATCAAGTTAACAAACAGCTTGCATCACCTTTTTAGTAGCAGGTCGAGATACCTACAATATAGCTTGAATCTTTAACTTTTATTATTCCTTCCCAACCTGCTCCTGCTTTCTGCAGCTGCTGCTGCCTTCTATGCTACTTCAACAGTTCTGTCTTCCATTAACCTGACCTAATGTGGCCCTGCATGGTGTTTGGTGTCCTCCTCCCCTGGGCTGTGAATATATGTGATTAATAAACTGCTGTCAATCTCATAGGTCCGGTGTCCAGTGCTGCGAGTTCAACCACCTCCAGAACCCTAGGACACTCCGTCCCTCACCAGTGGGATGAAGAGAAGGTGAACAGAATATTGTATGTCCTACCCAACCAGCTCTGCTTCCCGCAGCTGCTGCTGCCTTTTTACTGCAGAAACAGTTCTCAGTCTCCTCCTAACCCCCTGCCCATGACAAAACCATCAGATTGCGCAAACCTTGCACCTGCTCCAACCAGTGCACTATTTACCTTACAGATAACCCACAGCCACTGCCATCCTACTAAGCCATTAAAACCATCTGCTGCGAACCCCTCTGCAGCAACTCACTCACCCTTGTTCCTCTGTCTCCAAACTCAGGAGTTAGAGCCAAAGACAATCTTATGTGTTTTTGCAGAGTAGGCCTTTAGTACAGGTTTGTTTACTGCCTTGGTACTCATTGATGAAGGGTGCTTGAGTGGTTAGGACAGTGGGATCAGTGTCTTCCCAAACAAAGGCGCATTCATGTAATGCACACAACGATGATGCGGGCATGGATCTTCATATTTGCCCTTCCTGCTTCACAGTTTATAGTGAAGAGCAAACAAGGGAAACGAAGCACCTGAAAAGCCTCTGTGGACTCTGGAGGGCTACACAACTATAAATTCCATTCATTTGTTTCGAGAAAACTTACCAAAGCCAGACTCTTCTTCCATGAGTGTGCCACGGTGCCATAATTACTGTAATAGTAGAAGTTCTTCAGGAAACGGTTCACAGTTGTTGACTCATATGTACCATATGGGTCATCTCAGAGCCCCATAAAAAAAAATCCTGAAAGACATGCCACTGATGTGAGTTGGTCCCTCCACACAAACCTTACAAAGGAGTTCTGCTGTGTCTCAGTATCAGAAAATATTACTGAACATCTAAGATGTGCCAAGGTGCTAGGGACAGAGAAGCACAGTGTGCTATTCAGCAGCAGCATTTTTATAATGGGTGTTTTTATTAATGCCCAAGAGTTAAAATTTGCAGGGAGATGGACAGGAAACCCCATAGTAGTGTCAGGCAGCAAGACCAGGAGTGCTCATGCAGCAGGTTACAGTAAGCATTAAATGTAGCAAGCAGCCAGCGACACTAGAGGGCAGCACCTGCCCACCCAATGCTCCTGGTCCAGCGCCCTCTGACTTTTTTTATTAAAGATTTTATTTATTTGTCAGAGAGCGAAAGCACGAGCACAAGCAGGGGCAGCAGCAGGCAGAGGGAGAAGCAGGCTCCCCGCTGAGCAAGGAGGCTGAGGAGGGACTTGATCCGAGGACCCTGGGATCATGACCTGAACCAAAGGCAGACGCTTAGAAGGCAGACGATTAACCGACTGAGCCACCCAGGTGTCCCCTTAATGACTAACTTTAAAAGGTCATCTGTTCTAATGGCTCTCAATTCTGGCCTTACATCAGAATCACTGGGAAGCCTGTAAAAATACAGATTTCCTGGCCTCAGCCCAGACAAGGAGTCAGAATATCTAGGGGCAGAGTCCAACACTCTATATATTAAGTATCAAAAATAATCATCAAGCAATACAGCACCAAGGTCTGGGTGTATATTTAGGAGATACTGGCAACAGCCCCTCCCACCCTCCGGTTTTACTGAGATATAACTGACATATAACATTGTATTAAAGTGTACAACATAATGATTTATATATACATTGAGAAATGATTACCACTTAAGTTTAACATCCATCTCCTCACAGTTACGATTTTTCTCATGATGAAAACTTTTAAATTAAATCTACTCTCTCAGCAGCTCTCAAATATACAATATAAAGTATTAAATATAGTCACCATGCTGTATATTAGATCCCCAGAACTTACTAATCTTCTAACTGGAAGTTGGTACCTTTTACCACATTCTCCCCTTTCCTCCACCCTTCACCCACTGCCACTGACAGCCACCAATCTGTTTTCTGTTTCTATGAGTTTAGGAGGTTTTTTTAGATTACATATATAAGTGAAATAATACAGTATTTGTCTTTCACTGTTTATTTTCACTCAACATAATGCCCTCAAGATTTATCTATGTGGTTGCAAAAGGCAAGATTGCCTTTTTATGCCTCAATAACATTCCATTGTGTATATATATGTACCCTATCTTCTTATCCATTCATCTATTGATGGGCACTTGGGTTGTTTCCATGTCTTGGCTACTGTAAATAGTGCTGCAATGAACATGGGAGTGCAGATAATGATTTTGTTTCCTTCAGGTATATACCCATAAGTGGGACTGCTGGATTAAATGGTAGTTTTATATTTAATTTTTTGAGGAACCTCCATACTGTTTTCCATAGTGGCTACACCAATTTACATGTCCACCAGCAGGGCACAAGGGTGCCCTTTTCTCACCAGCATTTGTTATCTCTTGTCTTTGATGACAGCCATTCTAACACATTTGAGATGATGTTTCATTACTTCTCCTTCTCCCTTTGCCTCTCCCCTGACTCATGCGTTTTCTCTCTCTCTCTCCTCTCTCAAAAATAAATAAAAATCTTTAAAAAATAAAAAAATTAAAAAGAAGAAATAGGAAAGTACGTGGAAGCAAATGAGAATGAATGCATGACAGTCCAAAACCTTTAGGATGCAGCAAAGGCAGTCCTAAGGGAAGTATATCGCAATACAGGCCAACCTCAAGAAGCAAGAGAAGTCTCGAATACACAACCTAAGCTTACACCTAAAGGAGCTAGAAATGGAACAGCAAATAAAGCCTAAATCCAGCAGAAGAAGGGAAATAATAAAGATCAGAGCAGAGATAAATGATACAGAAACAAACAAAAAAGTAGAACAGATCAATGAAACTAAGAGCTGGTTCCTTAGCCAGACTTACCAAAAAGAAAAGAGAAACGACCCAAATAAATAAAATCATGAATGAAAGAGGAGAAATCACAGCCAACACCACAGAAATACAAATCATAAGAGATTATGAAAAATTACACACACACACACACACACATACACACACACACGGAATACTACTCAGCCATCAAAAAGATGAAATCTTGCCATTTGCAATGACGTGGATGGAACTAGAGTGTATTATGCTAAGCGAAATAAGTCTGTCAGAGAAAGACAAATACCATATGATTTCACTCATATGTGGAATTTAAGAAACAAAACATGAACGTAGGGGAAGGGAAGGAAAAATAAAATACGATGAAATCAGAGAGGGAGACAAACCATAAGAGACTCTTAACTATAGGAAACAAACTGAGGGTTGCTAGGGGGGAGGTAGGTAGGGGGATGAGATAACTGGGTGATGGGCATTAAGGAGGGCACTTGATATAATGAGCACTGGGTATTATATATAACTGATGAATCACTAAATTCTACCCCTGAAACTAATAATACACTATATGTTAATTAAATTGAATTTAAATTAATTTTTAAAATACACCTTTTTTCTCATTTAAAGAAATGCTACTAAATGTTCTGAAAATGACAGATTTCAGTTAAAAAGGAAAGAGCTCTCATGGGAAGGGTGGAGTGAAAGGGGTGACAGCAAAAGACTCATAAAATTTAAACCGATTCTATGTGATGATATTATGAAATATCCTCCTATAGTAGGTAAGTTTGGTTATCTCTAGCAATGACCTAACATAGAACTATATATGGAGGTTAAGAAATCAGGAACACAAGGAAGAAAGAGGAACCTTTCTAAGATTGTCCCATTCATACTCCTGGCTTGATGACAGGCTCATCACTCTGACTAGAATATAACTTTCAATGTATATAAACTTGTAAGAAGAGAATGCCCTGCCAGCAAATGGGAGTATGACAGGTCACTTGGGATTATATTTCCCAGTGTAAATTAGTATATTAGTATTATAATGTATGTCTCACATTCTTTTTTTAAGACTTTTTTAAAATTTAATTTTATTTTATTATGTTAGGTTAGTCACCATACATCATTAGTTTTTGATGTGGTGATCCCAGATTTTATTTTTAATTAATCTCTACACCCAATATGGGGCTCCAACTCACCACCCTGAGATCAAAAGTTGCATGCTCCAATGACTGACCCAGCCAGGTGACCCACATTCTTTTCCATTTAATTACAGTTTGTCCATTCTGAAGAAACCAATTGGCTCACAGAACTTTGACAAGATGGAGTCTTTCTACTTGTAAAGCTGAGGAACGCTGACTCCTACTTCACCCTCCTTTCTGTTCCTCCTAGTTGGTAGTTTCCATCCTCCCAGCCAGCTGCAGAGGCAGGGAGAGCAATCCTAAACATCAGGCTACTGCAATGACCACAATCCCCAGCATCCTCAGAGGAGAGTGAGTGCCACTGTTTCTCAGTCTCAGCTGCCTTCCTCTTAGGTGTCTTAGTTTTCTCCCATTAGTATCAAGTATTATCTATTAAAAACTATTTAATGAGGGGCGCCTGGGTGGCTCAGTTGGTTAAGCAACTGCCTTCGGCTCAGGTCATGATCCTGGAGTCCCTGGATCAAGTCCCGGGATCGAGTCCCGCATTGGGCTCCCTGCTCGGCAGGGAGTCTGCTTCTCCCTCTGACCCTCCCCCCTCTCATGTGCTCTCTCTCTCAGTCTCTCTCTCTCAAATAAATAAATAAAATCTTTAAAAAAACAAAAATAAAAACTATTTAATGAATAAAGCATGAGGAGTAATAAATGTTATCTAGAAGTGAATCCTGATCACTTGAAAGTTTTATGTTTTCAGCTTGGTAGGAAATAATAGGTAGTTATATAAAAATACTCAAAAGATCTCATAGTGTGCCTCATACAGACAAACTACTATATAAGTGTCCTATAAAGAGGAGAGAGATTATTTTTGGCTGAAGTGATCTGGGAAAGCTTCATGTAGAAAATTGCATTTAATCTACTGCTTGAAGCAGAGAGAAAATTATAATGTGTGGAATTGGAAGAGAAAGTGATCCAAATGCAGGAGTCAGTACGTACATAGAGTTTGCTGGTGTTTCTGTGTAATGATATGTGGGGATAACAGAAGGATTCTTGAAATATTTATTTTACTCTGGGTACATTTTATTTTGTATAAATTTTATCTCAGTGCAGTGAGGTTTAGACTTCATTTTGTCTTTGTGTGGTAACTGAGGTTTTGGATATCTCCTTGCGGCTGTATTTTTCTGCATGATGTGGACATAAACTGTGGAGACAGGTCTCCTGAATCTGACCATATGTGTTTCTAGGTATAAACGTCTGTGTGGGTGCATTTCTCTGCAGATATTTTGGTCTTTGCGGGTGTGTGCACATGCAGTCCTGAGACGATAGGAAGAAAAGACAGAGGAAGGATTAGAAGGGTGGCAGGGCAGGGGGGAACAAAGTGAGCTGTTGACGGGAACCTGTCTGAAGCCCAAATATGAAATTGCTATACATTATTAGTAATTTAAGTAGTTGATAATTCATTGTCACATGGACCTCAGAAGTTCTTTTTCTAATAAAACATTTATTGGTAAAAGGCTATTTTTTATCCATCAAAATGCCATTTTTTATCCATCACATTTATCTCTTTTCATTGTCCTTCCTTTCATCCAATTTACCCCTCTTTTTGGAGGTTTTTCTTTTAATTTCTTCTTTTTTTTTTTTTGCTCTCAAAAATAAAGTTTTATTTCTTCCTTTCCTTTCTTAGCCTTCCAGTTCTATCCCTTTCTTCATTGAAATTTTCTCTTTCTGTTTTTTCCTTTCTCTTCAATGTATGGTGCTAATGCCATACCCCACCCATACCCGAGAATCGATTGTTTTTAAATTGGGAAAGGGGGTACCTCTTGTTGTAAAGATATTTTAGGCTCAGTCTTGGGCTTTTGTCTT